TGAGATCCTCAAATCCTACAAATATAGTGTAGATAAGTGAGTCTCGTCCTTCCGTATCCTGCTTCCCCATTGGTCATTTTGTGCGAAAGAACGTAGTTCCGCCATACTAAAAGCAGAGTTTCTCTTTTTCGTAGAAGAATATTTGTACAATTATTTTAATAGGATATTGACCATTAATGGAAGTTGTTGGTTTCGAGGCCTCACTTCGCATCTAGCAGACCGTAAAGTCGCACCAATGGGACGCGTCCCACCTCCAGAACTGTTGTTGTAGATCCTTTAGTGAAGTAATTATTTGCTCTTTTGCTCCGCTCTAAATCAGTTCATGCATTCATTTTACATAGAACTACTTGGAACACGAGTGATTTGTTTTCTAAAGGTACCCAGTTGAAATCTCTGCCAGACATCTCGTAGTTTTTCGTGATTTTCTCAGGCCTTCCAAGCGAATACAGAGACTACGATCGTGTCCATCGTAATCGTTTCGAGTTTACTATACACTGCAGCGCCTTTAAGTAACCTCATTCGACTCGCCTGTGCTTCTGCACTGCGCCTCATTGGCTCCGAGAGCTTCTCTGGACTTGGTTCACTCTAACAGGCAGCTTGTCACTATTGACCTACTCCGCTTCGGAGGAGACCAACTTCCGAGATGAGTTTTCGTTCCATGATATTCTCATTATATCTCAGGGTATCCCTCCGTCTTTATACTGGGCTCACATTCATTCCGCACATAAGTATTTTTTTTTCCTTTGGCGCTACAGCCCCAATTTGGGCCTTGGCCTACCTCCATGAAACTCTCCGTTTCACTTCGGTTTACTAGATCTTAGACATTCGGTAGGACTACTTGGGCGGGTGATCAGCCAGTCGCAAGGCCTCTACCTGCACACACACACACACACACACACAAACAAACACTAAACATGCATGTCCTGAGTGGGATTCGAACCCACGATCCCTGCTTCCGAGCGAGCGAAGACAGTTGATGCCTTAGGAAGCTCGGCTACCGTGACCGACTAAGTAATTATTGCACGTAATTAGTTACATCGTGATTATATCGCGTCTCATACTTGAGTATGAGCCGGTATAGCGACTGGCTACGGGCTGGAGGGCAGAGGGGTCGGAGTTCTTGTCCCGGTAGGGTCAAGAATATTCTCTTCTCCACGTAATCTAGACCGACTCTGGGGACCACCCAGCCTCCTATCCAATGGTTACGGAGGGCTCTTTCCCCGGGAGTAAAGCGGCCGGGGAGTGAAGCTCATGACTCACCTCCATTGAGTGTAGAAGTCAAGTAAACGTGGATCTATCTATACATCCACTCCCCCATACAACTCCATGGCGTAATGCTTAATTAGCTAAGCACAGGGACAACTTTACCTTTTGCCGTACCTTATTAAGTTTATGTCTCTCTCAGCTTCAGAGTTCGTACTTCGCCGTGTTGGTAGCGACTTATAGCGACTGGAAGACGTGTAATGGCATGATGTTAAAAGAAACCAACCTCTGCAATTTTGAAAAGTCGCCTAATTGAAATAAGTGCCACATGTATTTAGTAATTNAAGCGGTTAAACAGCGCGCGGATAATCGAGAGTCTACTGTATTTGGTATTGCGAATCGTCGTGCCGTTTTCATCTCTCAGTGTTTGCCTTTCGATTGGAGGTGGGTGCAGTTATCACTAACTGAGCTTGCTGATCTGATATTGTCTCAGTGATAACTTCATGTGCAGATTGCATTAGTTCTCAATGACTCTGCACCACTTCTCACTATTGTGCTCCCGTCGTTCTCTGGCCCTGTTTGTGTCGATGGATTACACGGTTTCTCTTATATAACTCGAAAAAATTATTAAGTTCCCTAGTTTCGTCATGCATATGTAGGTTAGGAAGAAAATACAGAATCTCCTTACTAGATTAAGTCAGCGTCTGATAGACTGGCCTGCTTTTTTATATATTTACACCAGACAGAATTAAATTAACCGTCATCACCATTGAAGGAACGAGAAATGTCCCGTTAGATTTAAATAATAAAATTCGCGTCATTGAGGAGCAACATACATAATGAATTCGAGGCCAGTTTTCACGGTGGTTAAGGATTCTTGTCGAGTAAACGCCCAATTCAACGGATGTCTTGATACTTTCTTTAAAATGTTGGCAGAGTACTTATCTCACCTCTGGTTGGTTTGTTTCGTTTATTTATATTCGTGGAATGAAGTGACAGGAGGTTGGAGAAAACTGCATAACGAGGAGCTTCATAACTTATACTCTTCTCCAAGTATAATTAGAATGATCAAGTCAAGGAGGATGAGATAGGCAGTGCATGTAGCACGAATAGGAGCGAAGAGGAATGCATATAGGATATTGGTGGGAAAGCCGGAAGGAAGGAGACCACTGGGAAATGAGTGAGTGGAATGTTGTGCATGTACACGATCCCAAATTGACTTGCAGGAACCAAAACGATGTTGACGTTACTTCGGTATTTGACTGTGAAATGTGTTGACCAGTGGCATAACTGTCAGGATACCATGTTCTGTGTCACTGTTTCGAGAACAGCACACCGTATGAAGAGAATGTATAGAGGCATGTGTTTGAAATGTGTGTATAATTTTGATAAGAATATAGTATATCCTAGGTAAATGAGTTTACTTACTCATGGAGCTGAGCCCTTCTTGAGAAGCTGCCAAATTTACAGCTATTCAAGAACTTCCCAGCACCCATACAGAACCACAGGCAAATTTGTAGTTTTGCATATTCTAATTTTTATGTTTTTGGACAGCAGACGGAAGACAAAATGTTCTGGACTGAATGGCAGTAAGCATTACCCGAGTTCAGTCTCCTTAATTTCATCCTGAATCAGGGTTTGATTTGTTATCGTCGTTCCCAAATATCTGAAGTGACAGATTTTCATAACGTTACCTGTCCTTATGTCATAATTTTGCTCTCCATTTTGGTGACGAGATAGCAAGTATGTATAGGACAGTAGACCACTGTATGTCGCGGTGCAAGGGCCGGGACGGCTCACCCCCTTATACATTCATTCTTTCATGTATAGGCCGTGTTCGCTCAGGGCAGTGGCGGAAAAAAATCTCAAATAGGTAAATGAGTATTAGTGAAAAATAGATCGTGTTTAGGTTTTCATTTAAAAGCGATCGTTGTTTTTATTCACATGGTTCGTTATTACACTGTCGCAAAATTTCAATGAGACTTCCCAATCGTAATACTTCGAAATGTAATTGTTTATTCAGACTGGCGTTGTTGCATTCTTGCAGATGCGCGCAACCGATATATCAGAAGAATGTGAAACCACGTAGCCTTTGGTGTAATTGGACCCAGGCACAGGCATCGTAGTCTTGTTTAATGGCATTTAGCATTTATTTGGAAATTTCTCCGGCGACCCTTCGACACATTTGGATGAGTGCCAGTTGTCTTGCTGGGTTTGATATGTTTAATTGGGGCGCATCGGAGATATTCTCGTTCGGGAATAAACATTGCCAGCGATGGTAGAGGAAAATTTAAACCGTTCGTTTGTAGGTTTCACTTACTTGCAATTAATTAGTGTTGTCGTTGGACATGATTGAGTAGTTCCCTGAAGCGGTGTTTGGCGGCCATCCAATCGATGATGTCCGAATACTGCCGATTGGATGCAACGTTATTCTATGGAGACACTTGTATTGAGGCACAGGTATCTGTTTATTTATAATGTATTGAAGATACTGCCGGTAGCTCAAGCTACGTAGCGTTGAATGATTGGATGATGATAATGAATTGGAAAGGGTGTGGAAGGAAAGAGTAGTTACCTAATTTAAAGCACTGCCCGAATATTTTCCTGGAGGGACTGAGCGAAATAACGAAAACCCCAGTCAGGATAGTAGATAATTGGAACGAACTTCGAGCCAGAATTTTTGAAGTATCGCTGTTGTTAGGTGTTGTGTTGGTAAAGCCAAATCGTCAGTCAGTCAGTGTGAGGCTGAATCTCATGATCATTCTTACTCTTGTGCTTATTACAGAGAACGTTTTTTTTTTCTTTTCAGGGATCAGTGATTTTTTGGCCGGCGTTTGAAAAGATTCTTTCTCCCAGTACAGATGGGCTGTTGTTTTATATTGATTTACAGTATGTCTTACTCCGGTCTAGAAAACCAATATTAACGACTGTGGGGATCTGTTACGCTGACCACGCGACACCCTCTATCCGCAAAAGTTGGCACCAACTTCGCCGACAAGCGGCGGTCGCTCTGCCGGTATAGTTCGTTTGCGGATTTACAGGCTACGGAGTTTATTATGTCATTACATTTTGGCATGGTGTAAAACAGGTTCTCATGCCTTGTGATACCACGGCTACCAAACATACCGAACATAATATGTAGATTGGTCGTCTTATCTCTGCTGGTCATCCAGGTGCAGTTGTTGGTCCTTATCAGTCTGTACTGTGACAGCGGGAACCCAGGTAGCTTTACAGCCTCACAACACTTCAAATAAGCTATTAAAGATTCGTTTACAGCCACCAGAAATTCGCCATATGTTCCACCAGCTACAGCTACAATTTCCAAAAACGCTCATATAAAATCATACTGCCATACCAACTTCCCAGAACAGTCCGTAAGAACTGGACTACTTCCCTTACAGCAATGTCGCGAACCACAGTTTGATAAACCATGGCCCATGTGACTTTACATGCTTTCAGCTCTGTAGAGATTCATGGGTTTTCTGCGTGCTTCTGAAGGAGAGAATTATCGATGATGGTGAAATAATAACAGTAACCCCAATATGTCTACTGTTTGTTGAGGTACTGTTAGATAGATAAATTGTTATGGTCAGTCACCAGTTCTGGAAGTAATATGTAGTGGTCCTTTGGGTTTTATGAGCAAACCTATTTTTGCTGAGTATGTGCCGTCTTTTACAGTGATGAGAAATACGCATGTATGTATAGATAAAAAGAGCAACTACTCAAAAGAAGGGAGAAAATGTACCTTTTTTTTAACATTAAACTGATGAAAATAAAAAGGCTTATTTTATCGACAGCTGGGCGGTGTCAACGGTGATGACTCGGCAGAACTTTGTGCCTTCCAGTGATGGTAAATCCATGCTGACTGCTCTTATTCCTATGTGGGACATGTGTAATCATACCAATGGCAAGGTAAAGTGATAACAGATAGATATAGATTTAGTTCCTTTTAGCATATGGGTATTTTCTGGTTTACATTTTGTTTTTGGAATTTATATTTTTATGGGTCTTCAACAGGGTCCACTCAGGCTCATAAGGATAATTGAAGAGCTGTTTCAAGGAAATAGCGGTTCTGGTCTAGAAAACTGAAATTAACAGCTGTGGGGATCCATTGTGCTGACCACGCAACACCCTCTATCCACTAAAATTGACACTAACTTTGCCGACAAGCTTCATTCACTCGGTCGTTATATTTTGCTTGCCTACTAAAACCACGGATTTTATTTTGTATTTTAGTTTGTAATAGGGGTCTCCAAAGTTTGATTGCCCGGGGTTCCCCCCACAACTGTAAATCAAGCCTGATATAAAAAGGTATTTTCTTTAAAGTCTGCCATGTCCATTCAGATGCTAGTGCCATCAGAATCATCAAATGAACAGATATTATCATCTTCTATTATAATAAGTGATTAGTATTTGAAACATGGCATCTGTTTACAGTATTTGTGCCAGAACATGGCTACATTTAAGCCCAGCTTGGTGATTAGTTGAATGTTTATGGAACTGTTTAATACTTACTTAGCTTCTGTGTTAATCAATTGCAAACAAAGTAGCCAGCACTGGACAAGTATACAATAATTAAATTTTTATTTCAGGATTGTGTACTGCTCACAAAATTGAATTGAAAATGGCTTTGACCCAATGTTAGAACTCCTTAATTGTATTATGGAGGTATCTGGTTTAAACCCTATCCTTCTGGCTATCAGCTAATTTTCCTTCCTGGTCTCATGAAAGAGCATCTGGAAAATGTTACATGCTGCTGTACTGGATGTGCTGCTACCCATGTTAATTTAAGTTAAACGTTAATTGGTGTAATTTGTGTAATCAGTTGATAGTTCTTTAGTTGATGCCATTGATTAACCTACCTCATTTGAAAAGCACACTGCTCATGTTCAGTAGTTTCATTCAATTTTGTTGTGTATTGTTTTAATGAAATTCAGAAGTTGAGGCTAGTCTCAGAAATTTAACTTGTACTTGAATTTCCTGTTCATTAACTAGCTGTGCCCATTGCAGACTAATGTTAATATGATTCAAGCATTATGTTTGTGTGCTGTACATTATATACATAGCAAACATTCTAGTAAGCATTATTTTGTTAGTAGAATGTATAGTGTAAATCAGATGATTATGGAAGGCACTGGAGCCCCTATAAAAGGATGTTATGTTTGAGGTTTGGGCAGGGCATGTAGCACGAATGGGAAAGAAGAGGAATGCATATCGGATATTGGTAAGAAAGCCAGAAGGAAAGAGACCGCTGGGAAGACCAAGGCATAGGTGAGTAAACAATATTGAAATGGATCTTATAGAGAGATAGGATGGGATGGTATGGATTGTATTCGTCTGACTCAGGATAGGGAGCAGTGGAGGGCTCTTGTGAACACTGTAATGAGGTTTGAGGTTGTCTGTATCCAGCACTTATCTTTCCTATATTTTGCATGTGACAAAGTAGTTCTCCTTTACCAGCTGCATTATTGCTGTTACTAAACAGGACCCTTCCCTGTCAGCACTTCCACCTTCCACCAGGTGGGCAGAAGTTAAGAAGGGCAGAAAACCATAACTTGGGGGCATTGTGATGTATGTAGCTGTTTTCTGCAGTTGTCCACAGACTTCAATGCAGTGCAGGACCGCAGTGAGTGTATGGCCTGCCGTGACTATCAAGCAGGAGAACAGATTTTTATCTTCTATGGACCACGCACGAATTCGGAGCTGTTTGTACACAATGGATTTGTGTATCCTGACAATGAACACGATGGCCTGCGCCTGAAACTGGGTGTCAGTCGAGAAGATCCTCTGCAACCAGAACGTTCCAAGCTACTGTGCCGACTTGGCATTCCAGCTGCTGGAGACTTTTTGCTGAGGAAAGGGCCAGATCCGGTTGATGGAAGGCTGCTAGCGTTCCTCAGGGTCTTTAATATGGGATCAGGTAAGTAGAAACTGTGCCTTCTCTTTCACAGGTAACTTTGTGCATGTGCATTCGACTTCATTTCTGTGTCATAGGGTAATTTTAAGTGCCAGTTCCCAAAGACAATACATATACACCCCTACCAAAAAGAAATTTTATGTTAAGTTGTTAATGAGCTGACATAAAAAATTTCTATAGGATTCTGACGATGGTGTATAACACACAGAGATGTTGGGTTTTTGGACTTTATCCATCGTCCTGGTTTTAAGATAACTAAGAAAACCATGACGTTTCAGAAGCTGGATCTGTTTCAGTCCTCAGGTGAGGGAAAACACCTATTCTGTTGGGTCCCTTAGAAAGAGCTAGCCTCAATCACTGGACTGAGGCTAGCTATTTATATTTAATTCTTATTTTAACCCTCTTTATTTACCTGGTAGAGCACCTGAAGCATTGGCTGTCCAGTGATCGCAGCTGTGACCTTGTATACCCTGACTGTGCACTTGAGACAGAAGTGGAATCCAAGATGTGGAAGTTCCTCCTCACTAGGATTAATCTCCTGCAGCGTGCCTACCCCACTACATTGGAAGTGAGTTCATGTAAATACAATGACGTTACAGTACACAAATTCCTCCTTAACGTCTTCTGTACTAATATTGAACCTGATTTTTGAAACCACAGAAAGACCATCTTTGTCTGTGTGAACGTTTCAGGTAGTTATAGTTTGCTGGCCACATAAATTTGTAGCCGAGCTCTGCAGTGGACTGAGAAGTACTGATTAAATTAACTCCAGAGTGAGAAGCAAAACAAATTAAATTACAGCTTTATATATTGTATTTTATTTCTTTTAATGTTCTCCACTGTGCTCACTGTACTAGTTTGGTGAAGCATTCTTGTGTTAGGGGCAGTTATTAACTCATGTGATAGCATCAGGACAACGTGAATTTAAATTGTGTGGGATGGTATTAATTCTTTATGTTTTATGAAACAGTACATTAAGTTATGAACCAGTTACTGCTGTGCACTTCCAGGGTTTCTTCTTCTTTTAATTTCACCTTGAATCTTTCTTTTATTCATCATTCCTAAGCACTGAAACTTTATCACACATTCAGATAATTTGAAAGAAGTTTTATTAAGATTTTTCCCTGGTTGTTAGGTGTCAGACATGTCGTTTTTATCCTGCTCTCTGACTTTAAAAGTAAATATAGGGTTAGAGTTTTGTCATATCCATGTGTTTAACAGTCCTTCCATGAATTTGAACCACTTGACAGATTTTCATAGAAATTAGTATGAACAACATGCCATTCTGTTGTTATGCTTTTTAAGTTACAATAACACCATCGTGGCGGCTGTGCAAACTTCTGAGGTGAAAACAATGGGATTTAAGATAGGGTCCTGAACTTTTGTACGGGAATAGGTCTTGTCTCTTATATGAAGGAGTCTTTTGAAGTTTGCAGATTGCTGATATACTGTTTCATTGAACTTTCATTTCACCTTTCATTATGTGTATGGTGAATGAAGAAAATTGATCAGTAGTTGATCTCTTAGATTGGAGTCCATGTCCACTATGAAAACTCAGCATGGAAATAATCAATATGTACATGATTGTCATAGTAACATTTCTTCCATGCCACAGGAAGACTGCAAAAAGCTGAAGAATCCTCTACTGACGCCCTGTTCTCTCCTAGCTGTTCAGTTGCGGATATCAGAAAAGCTGTTGCTTGATGCTGCAGAGGAGTATGTGAAACAGCGAATTAAGACCTGAAGAGACAAGCACATCTTGGATAATCAGCCCTGTATGTGGTTTAGCCACACAAAATGCATGGGATCAACAGACATTTTGCCAACAGCTTGGTGATGAGTCATGTTGACACAAGCAGGTTTGTGTCAATGTGAACAGTTGTACATAATGATTATGAGTAATTCTTGTTAAGTGTGAAATTGTGAGGTTAAGTAAACGAAAGAGAATATGTATATAACACTTCGCTTTTTGTTGCATATCGTAGCAGACTTGCAGTAATATTTTCAGATGTGAAATGAATGTTTGTAAATAAAGAAATGTTATATGCCTCAAAAATAAAACTGAAAATTATGATGAGGATTTGTCAGAATTATATAATAATGTTGTTTGGTGTGTATTTTCTTTAATACAAAAGACTGATATTTTATGTAGAAGAACGTAACATTTACAGAAAATTTTCAATCACATCCATATTAAAATCTTCCACAAGTTAAAAGAACCTGCACTCCCAGTTATTTTCAGTGAACAGCAATTAGAATTTCCATTTTTCTCATTAGATGTTTCATATTTTATAGCCCTTCAGCTTTAATGCATTTACATATTTCCACAACAGCAGTCTGCCTATTCTCACTCATACTATAATAAAGTGTTCATAGTCATGTAACTATAAATGCTGTGACCTAGGAGCTTTGATGCTGTCTAAGTGCAATGTTGTTCACTGTTCTTTCTTCATATTCCTTTAATGGATACTGAATGTTTGGCCTAACTGGCCATCTTCAGGTGTACATGTTATAATTGTGCTGCTCACTGAAATGCAGTTTTCTTTCCTCCCATTCTAGTTTCCTCTGGTTACTTTGGTTATGTATGTTACCATCAGTTTTATTTAGGTGTTCTTGGGTTGCACATGGTTGTCTTGAAATCCCTTGCTGAGGTGAGAGTTCTGTTGTGTGTTAGTCGGCCATCATAGCCATTTGTTTGACTATGATGGCCGACCAACACCATAACAACTTGTACACCTGAAGATGGCCAGCTAGGCCAAAACATGTAGTGTCAAATAAAGGAATATGAAGAAAGAACAGTGAACGACGTTGCACATAGACGGCACAAAAGTTCCTAAGTGAGATCTATACAGTGCAACAGGATGCTGAAATATAACATTATAGATGCTGTATTTTATTTAATATTTAAATGTAATGGTGGTGCTTCATCTGAAATTTGAGCTGCAGATAAGATAAAACTGAATGCTTGTGAATGTTATAATTGTATTTGGCAAAGTGTCTGTACATTGTACAGAAGTGTTGTGCATATTATCTTCTTCCACATCAGAGCAGGAGAAGAAATCACAGACATGCTTCATATGCGATATGACTTGATTGATATTTCTGCATTGCCATATTTGTTCATGTAATATTATTTTTTAAATTAATTTTGGGAACATAAAGAACATGCAGTTTAGAATAAGAGACATTCATAATCCCAGTTGTGGTATATTTCTATGATTGCATCATGTTGTATACTTTTAAATGTGTTCATATGTATTTTGTTCTGTGTTTGGATATCATAAAGCCATACAAATGATTATGGTATTGCTTACGTAGGTTGTGGAATGATGATACAAGATATGGCTGTTTAGGTTGTGATGCCTTGTAGTTTTGTAGATAGGTGCAAACTTTTCAGAGGAATCTGCAGCCTCAATTTTAAGGGTGGTAGGGGGAACTCTACCAAACTACACAGTGTCATATCCCAGAAAACCATAATCCTGATACCCCCCATAATAATAATAATATCATATCACACATAATGATGATACAAATGAATATTGAATTGGCGAGCACTTGAAGATCCTCACATTTGTCTGGAAAGATAACATAAAATGTGGCTTATGTGTTATTTGACAATTGTATGCACTTCACAGGTTATATACCATGAATAAGATCAGAGGACTTGTAAGTACAGTGAACCAAAAAAGGGGTAAGGATGTAACTGTCAAGGCCTATTTATGGGACTGAGGAATGTTAATTAAATATCTCAGTCAGGTTGCTGATTCTGGAGCCAAGATCCAGATTAGCTTTATGCTGAATACATTACCTGTTCAGTGATTTAGATCATTCATTTTGTGCACATGCTCTAGCTTCAAAAGCTGGCAAGGGGGTTGGGTTCATTTACACACAGAACATATCACTTTCTTTACAGGAATGTGGACAGAAAACTTGTGTATGAATACAGATGCAGGCAAGTGAAGGATAGTGAAGCCTGCACAGTGAGGAGTTTCATAATTTGTACTGTTCACCATTTATTATTAGGTTGATAAAGTGAAGGAGGATGAGATGAACAGATCTGTAGCATGCATAAGATAAATGAGAAATTGTACAAAATTTTTGTCAGAAAATGCTGAAGGGAAGAGACCACTTGGGAGACCTAGGCATAGATTGGAGGATAATATTAAGATGGACAAGTTAATTATGTATCAGATTCTCTGGAAGGATTCAGCACATGGTAATTTTGTGAAAGTGTAAGAATATGGTGGGAAATAATTCTTTTCGTAGATTTTGTGAAAGAAAAATTGTTACATGAACAGATATGGTACTTAATTCTAGTTTACTGTGGTACTTTCCTTGTGCATGTAATTAATAATGATTGCTACTGGTGATTCATGTTTAAGATGAAAAGGAATGATGCTTGTTGCATATAGGAGATACATCTTTAACTAATTGCACTGTATTGTTAGTAGCTGTGGCTCCATACACAGTTCCACCCTTAATGTGACAGTCAGGAGTGCTTTCTTTGTGATTAATTTGTCTAACTAGGTCTTCGTTTAATTTTTGTGTATTTTCTTTGCATTTTAAAAGTAACTTCGCCGACAAGCGGCAGTTGCTCAGTCGGTATAGTTTGCTTGTGCAATAGAACCAAAGGGTTTTACTTTGCATTTTATAACAGCAGAATATTCAATTTCCAAAAAGTGGAACATTTTAAAGTTGTGTGTCATAAATTAATGAGCTCTTATAAGGTGAACTAAACAGCCAATATTGAATTCTCAGTGATGGCATTTCGTCTTTTCTCCAACCACCCAAGTGCTTTTTCCATGGAAATTTTAAGTTATACCCACACTGTACAGCAGTTTTTAGGTCTGAATTTAAAATGTTATTTTAATTCTTAATGAATGCTTTGGCGGCAAGATACTTTTGTAGGCTGGGGCAACTTTATATTACCGTTTGTTACATGAAAACAACGAAACTACAAGACAGATTCTGTATATATATAGGCAACCTCTTGAGAATTCTTACCTCCCTCCATTTCAGAACTTCTTTACTCTTTGTTTCATATCAGTATTTTATATAAGCATCAGTACACTGGCCCTAATATTTCTTTCTTGCAGTCTCAGTTGGCCCCATGTATTGTTTGTGATACTGTATTTAAGGAGCAGTATTCATTATGCATCTTAACCCTGAAATGAAAGCTCATATTCTGTAAACTGTAAGTGTTTTTGATGGATTTTCAGTGTGAAGTATGAACATGAGTCCGCTTATCTCACTGGAATGTATATTTGCATTGTTTTATGTTTGGAAATTAGAAGAAAATGCTGATTACTTTTCTTTTAGGACTGACAATGGTGAAAACTTGCTTTTCTCCATCTGTTTTGTAATAAATAATACTATATTGTACACAAGCCATTTTATGCTTAATATCAATGAATACATCTAGGAAAGACTGATGGATGGTCCTACATCTTGATTTATGTTATCAGAATTTGGTGTCGGAAGTGCAATTTGGTACCTCAGTGTTCCAAATTTCAAACATTTGTATATATCATGCTTTCCTGTGCAAAATTCTTTCACATAGCAAAGTTATGAAAAAGATATATCCCAAGTCACAGTTGTTCTACCTTGATGATTCTAGTCTCAATAACTTCAGAATCTGTTGCTGCTATTCTCTAGTCATGTTTTTGCTCTAACTGTTAGAATAGGAATACTAATCCCATAGAAACTTCTCTAAAGCACAACTGGACCAGGTATAACACCTTTCCATACTTCATTGTGATGCATACAACTTGCTTCTATAATGTGTCTGTTTATATGTATTGTAGAAAAATAAAAAACAAAACTGAGCAAACCATGACATTAATGTATGATTTCTTGCTTCACATTTAGTACTCACTACCATATTTACCCGACTACAAGAACAAGTTTAAGGTACCGGTATTGGTGCAAATATTGGACATTGTACATAACTAATATTGGTGAATCTCACATACTTTATATTACTGAGACGAAAGTTGTGACTGATTAGATCCAGTGCATTGTTAGTCACTTGAACTCTCTACTGGCGAAGTTGAAATTATGAGGCTCCTTTTGTGATGGAAGTTACGCAACTGTTATCATACATAGAAGCCTTAAGAACTCTGTAGCAGACACAAAATTGTATCCAGTTGTAAGATGTACTACGATACACTGACTTCCATAGTGTTTAAACAGTGTCTAGTGTTAGGTGTGAAATTCTCAGGTTAGTAAATATTAAGATTACAGTCTTCTGGTATGTGATATCATGTACTTTCATGATAGGTATCAGACTTTCAGATGAACCTGCTGCTTCCATCTTCAGGGTACCAACTGTTCTATCCTGAAGATGGAGGCAACAGATTGCTTCAGAAAGCTTGAACTTATCAACCAAGCCATGCAACATCACATCCCAGGTGACTAATCTTGTCTTGTATACTTAGGAAGTCTTAAAGAACCTCTCATGAAATAAGATTTGAGGTTTTCATAACAGTGGAGATTCATACTGTAGCATTCTGTGTTATGAGTTGGTGTTGTAACTTGATAGGTGGTTACCAACATTCTGGAGGAAGATAGTACCTCCATCTTCAGGGTTAAATTGTTTATGACCCTGAAGATGTGTATTGTACTCTTATCTGTCAACCATAATCATCTCAAGTGATACAGTGCTACAGTGTATATGGCATTAAGAAGGGACAACAGCTCTTATGAGCTGTTACTGGAAATGGCAAACATCTGTACAAAATCAAGTTTCTTAGTATATCTGTTATATGAATATGTTTCTCCTCTAAGAACAAATGAAAGTAAGTTAATAATGTATTTGTTTTTTTTTTAAGTTTTGTATTGCATTCCTAATTTTTTGGAGTTCCAGTTATTGATGGAACAGCCTTCCCATTGTTGCTACATTAAATCTTACAATGCGCATGTTTTCTTTAGCATTATACGTAAGATTGCACATATTTGTATGTGCTCCTAATCTGTGGTGAGTACTAAACCTGGACTTCTGGCACAGTGCCCACACCATGTTGCTATATATTGCAGTGCTGTTGCCTTAAGAGCAGTAGTCTTTTGAAACTGTGGAAGTAAATGCCACATGATTCAGTTCATGAGATGGAGAAATGTAGAATTTTCTGCGCCTTTCATGTGGTACATAGTTCGCTGTACATTTTGGGTTAGTTTTATTTGATTTTATGAAATGCTGATGAATCATAGTATATTATTAATATTTATGATAAAATATTGCAAACTCTTTATTGTTCATGTATTTTATGAGATGACATTTGAAAGTTTACAAATAAATATAACTGAAATGTGATTGTTTGGCTATTTTTATTTCTTTATTCTACACCTTCATATTAGTAGTTGTATAATTAAAGCACAAATAATAGTATAGTACTAATGCATGTACAGGGTAGAAGGAGAATTTTTTGGTAATACAGTGGTTATCATTTGCAAGAGTATGGAGGCATTGTGTGGCTAATTGTGAACTGAGTTTTGGAGTACTATATGGCTGTGATCAAAATTTTTCAGTCGCATGGTTAATTAATGGTACAGAAATATCGCCGTTAAATTACATACCTAGTTGAATACAGGTCTAACTTTATATTTATTACAAAAATATTAGTTAATAAAATTTTGAATTACTTAAATTTGTTCAAATTCTAATCTTCCAGATTGTGGCACCGTGTAGTATTGTAGATGGATACCAGTGGTCCAGAGGAACATGCTGCCTCATTCTTCAGGGTTACTGAGCGGGTTGAGCAGTTGGTTTGGTTATGTAGGCAAGTTGTAATGAAGATGATTACTAAGCTCACTCTATGCAAATTCAAGTGGTGCATTAGAAATTATGTGTTCTAAGAGGTATACCAAGTTCTTATGTTGGAGGTGGAAAATGGAGTAGTGTGAAAGGGTGGGCCTATCCAGGAACACAGTGTTTTTTGAAGAAAAATTATAATTGTAATAAGAGACCGCCATTTTGAAGGCCTCCATATGTTCTCATTATGGGAGAGACTGAACCTTATGAACTGAGAAGACAGCTTATGCAGGGTTCCTGTGAATTGGAAGCAGTAAATGAGAGGTCTGCTCTTTTTTACTTTGAGGACTTTTTTTTTAATTCACATAGTGGGGGGTGGAGTCCAGTTGGGTCCACTTGGCACGGCGGCCACTGACTGGCCTATTATACTTTCCCCAGGTGATTATGATGAGGGAGAATTTGGTGGAACGAAGATTGGCAGGGGAAACCGAAGTACTCAGAGAAAACCTACCCCAGCGCCACTTTGTCCACAACAAATCCCACTTGACCAGACCTGGGTTTGAACCCAGGCCACTGCGGTGGGAAGCCAGCGACTAACCGCTTGAGCTATGGCGCGGCCCTTTTCAGGACTTGGTTAAAGGAGTATCATTTCTGGAGGAAGTAATTAAAGTATTCCTGGAAAGAAACTAATTCCTTTCCTTCGGAAAGAGGATAAGAGGCTCAATGATATGTTGAATGACAGAGCCCTCATTCACATTATTAAAGTATAACTTGATCCCTGTCTAGATTATTATAAAAATTTTCATTAAAAATAAGAAAATAAATAGTCATATGGAATATGTACAAAGTGTAATTAGAAATGTTTAGCTCAGTGGCCGCTGACAAGTTCTTTCTTAGTTTACATTGTCGTTCCCTTTCATTTCTTAACTTTACTAATTTTTTGCTCAAAACTCGAATAGTTGTCGTATATTTGGTTGTCAAACGTTTAATGGCTTCCCTCAGCCATGGCATTTGGCCAACACTTTCGTAGAAAACATGTGTCCCCCTTCCTCACGATCGTGATTATCGACGATCATCGTGATCGATCGTGATATTGTAACTGATTGACACCTACGCTCTGTCTGTAATAATAGGTAGAGATTCTGATAGATGGCAGTAATAGTAATTGTGTTTAGCCATCTAGTGCCTAAATTGAGAACTGTTTTCAATGTCAACGGCAGGTAAGTTTTCTCACGTTTGTCAGTGAAATAGCTGACCGCAAAGAGGCAAGTTGTGTTGTGAGCGCGATGGCTCCAGCTGACGGGTAACAGCTGTTTGGTGTTGATATTGTTGATTGACGAAGAGACATGAGTTCCACACCCGCTGTGGAAACAGAAGACACCGCACTTACCAATGGGAGTGCCGTTCCTCGAGAATTACTCTTCAAATTTTTGGTCATTGGAGATTACGGCGTCGGTAAGAGAGTTTCTGTTGCATTATTCGGTATTGTTACCAGAATAAACTTTAATCACAACTCACTGGTTGTCAGGCAGCATTGTATCACTGAGTCTCTAAGTTACCCGGTGCGAACAGCAACAAAGTGGACTTTGTTCCCTTCAACGCGAGCGACAGGGGTGACTGAGGAACCTACAGATGTTCTGTCGTATATCAATTGACCTCGAAGTCAGTGTCAGTGGCGTTTCAAATCTTAAGAACATTCGGAGAAAACTGTAAATATTAATTAGCTGGCTGCCACTCGCAGGAATTTTCCCCTCGTGTTGTGGTTGTTGTTCAAGGCTAACCAAGAACACCCCCCCCCCAACCACCACCACCAAATAATGCAATCAAGTGCTTTAAATTTCATATTTTCAGAAATAAGTATCTCATTCTTAAATTTCTCAATTCGCGCAATGCAGTGACTGGAACATTCACGTAAATACTTAAAACATGTCTGTAAAACGTCCATATAAGAACTAAAACAACACAGTTTTTAATTATTCCGGTATTGCATGTTGTTCTGCGTCTTTCTTCTTGTAATTTATTATCATTTTATTTCGTCAGCCCTTTGGTGACTTCGTTGTGCACGAGATAGTACTTTTCCAGAAAAAAATTACCTGAACATCTCTAATACTCACTCACTCATGGAGCTGAGCCCTTCTTGGGAAGCCGCCAATTCTGCAGCTACTCAAGAATTCCCCAGCATTTATGGAACCCAAAGGTTCATTACCGTGTTCACAAGAGCCCTCCTCTGGTCCCTATCCTGAGCCAGAGCTATCCAATCCATCCCATCTCATCCTATATCGCGAAGATCCTTTCTAATATCGTCCACCCATCTACGCCTTGGTCGTCCCTGTGGTCTCTTTCCTTCCGGCTTTCCCACCAATATCCTATATGAAAATAATAATCATAGTAATGCATGCTCTCAGGGGTGGCAAACCAGACATCTCCCACCCTCCCTACCCCTGGATGTGTAGAAAGATAATCCAAATTAATAAAAGGAAATATACCAAATATGAATACAACAAAAATATATTTTTTTAAATATTTCCTGAATACGCTGGGGAGGTCAGTAAAATATTCTTAAGCAGCTTAAACATAAGTTTGTAAGAACATCCTCACCTCTCCCTGTCCCCAGCACATGACCGTGGTCGTGTGGCAGACGTACAGGACACTACGCTTTGGAGGGTTTCGAAAATTCATTGCTATGGTGAAGGCGCGTCCACATTACTCGTGCTCGTGCTACAGTTTATACACACTACGAGTAAATATACGGATCCTCACGCGCCGAAGCCTGGCAAGCAACTGAAGTAGTGTGGACGAAGATTTACGAGCACACGTAAGAGCCAGACGAGTCTCCCGATGAGCACCTGGCGAGCACGAGCACGAGTAATATGGACGCGCCTTAAGACGCGCAGGAGCTGGGAATTCCGTAGGACTTTCAGTGTTGTTGCCTTTGTTATTAGGTGGATGCAGAGAATTGGGAGGGGAAAGCAAGAAGGCCCTTGACAATGCCAAGAGAGTACAGTACCTTGAAACATGGAGCCAGACTTCTTCATATGCCAATATTTTCTCCTCGTATTACGTAATCACGAAAGTTAACACGGTTTCATCAAATGACACATAAGCCAATCACCAGCAGAACCAGAATTGGCTGTTGCCGTGCTCTGAACGTAAGATACCAGTGATCAGTAAGTAACCCTCGTAGTAGGGGCCGCGCCATAGCTCAAGCGGTTAGTCGCTGGCTTCCCACCTCGGCGGCCCGTGTTCGACCCCGGGTCTGGTCAAGTAGGATTTGTGGTGGACAAAGTGGCGCTGGGGGAGGTTTTCTCCGAGTACTTCGGTATCCCTTGCCAATCTTCATTCCACTAATTGCTCCACAATCACCCTCACCTATCATCTGGGGCTGGTACAGTAGGCCAGAAGTGGCCGCAGTACAAGGGACTTACTCCCACCCCACTAGCATTAACAAAGTACCCTGGTAGTGCGAATTATTATGCCCCATGGTTAAACTTCGTGAAGGTACATACAGGACAGTAGGATTATTGTGAGAGTACTATTCTGTTGAAGAAGAGAGTCGTCATACAAACCTGAGGACTGGTTTCGCTAGAACATCTTCCTGTCGTAATGGGAGCTGATCTGTTGCAGAACGCAGAAATATGAGGACTGATAACAATGGCCAGGTCTGCTGCCGCACGCCTCATGAACTGCACTTGCGCGCTTAAATTAATGATAAGGAAATTATTGAATAACTGTATCTTTAAAAAGAAGATAAATATTTGGAATTTAGTCTTCAGGGTTATAATAGCTTGTAGTCTTTAGGTTGTTACTGGGTTATTGCTTCCATCTTCAGTGTAGAATTTCATGGGATTAAACTTGTTTCACAGTTGTACAGCACTGAGGCTGTAAGACTGTAAGATGTATTGTAAAACACACTTTTAAGCGTTCTTTGTATTCGAAAATAATACCTTAATGGAGGTTATGGAGGTCCATCTGTATGTGACTCAGTATCAGTTTTTTTTCTTTCTCTTGTTTTTTCGGCATGAAAGACCTTCTCTATACGTTGTGTGTTAATTCCAATTTTCAACCGTAGTGATCCGTAACAAAGCCAACCATACATAAGGCCATCAAAGAACTTAAGCGTATACTTATATCGGAAACTGTTAGAAACTTATTTTATACAAGGCCATGACCGAATTTTAATGTATGTCGTAAAACGGTAGTCAAATTCTGGTGAAATTCGATACAAGAGATCTTCCCATAACTTTTCTTGGTTTAATGTTTAGTTATGTTGGGGAATTACAAAATCACGTGATCGCTAAAACTCTTTCATTCACCCCCTTACATATCCTTGTGATCTCAGGAAGAAAAAAAGGTCTTTCTCATCGGCTCTTCTGTGAACGCCAAGAACTTGTTCAACACTACTTTTCCTAACACCCCTAAAATGATCAAGACGAGGAAAAGATGACGGAGTTTGTTTTTGTTTTGTTTATGAGTTCGGTTATTTTACGATATTATGTTTACTGATATCGTATTGCGTCTAATAAGATGAACGATCAATCGAAGACGCTACGGGAGGCCTAATGTAAAAAATTAAAAAAAAACTCTTATCGTTTGGCTGGAGAAACTGAGGAAAACCTAAAAAAAATAAATATAGTCGTTCTGCCGACCGACAGTCTAACTGGAAAACTTCTGAATTCGAAGGTGCAATGGACTTACTGCTGCTACACCTCGACTCTATGTATGAGAGAAAATTAATCTCTTGTTTTACTTTAACGCATTTGACAGATAGCAATAAAATTAATTTTATCTCCCATTGCCGCCTCGTTTGTATACAGCCAGTGGTCGATTTGATAGCTCCTTATCACGGTAAAATTGTAAATATTTTTACATAAACCGGCTTGGTTGTCAGCTCTTCTTGTATTCCCACATGGCTACGCTTCTCCTGAATTCCCTAAGCTGTGTAATGATAAATAGTAAAGAAGTTAAGCCAACATGTCGACTCTGCAGAACTCTTGATCTGCTGCAATATGCTACGTACATAGGTCATAGGTTCGCACAGTCAAGTACAGAGCTTGGTGACGGACCAGAAAATGACACGCCGTATAACTCTGAGCCACAGTAGTTTAAGATAGTACCATCGGAGTCTGCAGCCGGTAAGATCAGGATGTTGGGGCAGAAAAATGCTTCGTAATTGCGCTACAGCAACAGATGGAGACATCCGAGGTGACAGATCATATGTTGGTCTGCTTGCCAGGAGCATTGCTTCATAGCGGTTTGAAGAGGAAGCAGTAAACGCCCAGCTGCTGAATATTACACTTTTCTTTCTTGTGTCATCGTGGCTCTAAAGTGACACATGTGAAGAAATTTAGTTTACGGACGTTTTGACAGGGTCTACGTTAAACTGTGTTTTGTTCTCCAGGCTGGAAAAGTGGTAGATTGGCGGTGTTCAGCCATACATAAGTTTTCTTTTTTTTTGTTCTTAGTGGGGTGAGACTGAGTCCACTCGGTACTGTAGAGTCTACTGGACTATTGTACCAGCCCCCAGATAATAGATGATGGTGATTGTGGAGCAATTGGTGGAATGACTGCCCCAGGCCACTTTGTCCACTACAGATCCCACATAACCGGACCCGGGTTCCAAATAGACCCGCCGTTGTGGGAAGCCAGCGACTAACGGCCTGAACTATGGCTTAAGTTGATGTAGGAATACTGGGGAGGGTACATGCCGTCACTGTCTGCTGTGCTGTGTAATTGTACCGTGTGCACCCACTGGCCGGAAGAGATCATTGAAACACGTGTATCAGCTGACAAGAAACACCTTTCATTACATTGTTAAGTGTTAGTGACTAGATACAGGGTCTGGATTGATTATTGAGTTTATGAATATTTATTACTTGTTATTACAAATAATTATCACACTGTCACTGTTCTACACAATCTGTAAATAGCGACAGCTTGAAATAACTGTTATTTCCTCACTATTCGTTGCTTGGCAGTGGCTCTCAATGCTTCCGTGAGCAACGGCTCCTGCCCTCGCTGACTGACAACTGATTGCTGACTACTGCCTTCGGTCCTGGAGAAGAGTGAAAGTGGGTGGGGGAGTGGGTGACCCTGCGTTTAAAGAGAGCAAGAAAAAATATTTCCCTTTAAAGGGGCCCATACACGTACGAGTCTGGCTCGGCGAGCTTAACTCGGGAACCGGGCTCGGAATAATTTCACCACAAACGCATGAGCTGACTCCCAACTTTGCGACCCACACAAGGACGAGTTTGGCTCATTGGAGCCCGAGCCGAGTCGTACTCACGTGTACGGGCCCCTTCAGGCTCCCAGGCAGTTACCGCTCATCCTCCTGGTACAGGTGCATTTGACAGAGAGTGAAGCTTTAGGAAACGAAAAAGTAAAGTTTTAGAATATGGACTTTGTCACGAGCAAAGAAGATAATGTGAGCCGGGACTTTACCGCTTATGATCGGAATTAATGTTGATATCAGCGCAGGAAGGGTTACATTAGGGCGAAATTATGGATTATGTATGTAAACTGTGACTATAGTAATTAACACTCCCACAATGATAAGAAATACGCGTATTCAAAGAAAATCATGCGTTAGAATTCAGTAATTAATCATGTTACTAGGAGCACCCGAAGATGACCCATTAAGAGTGTGTCAGTGGTAGTGTGGTTTAAATTAATAAACATTTGTTACTTTTACGGCTGAATTGGTAAAATTAATATTGTTAATATTTAGAGATAGGTGAATTTGTGTGTTATGAGGTTTGTTACTCATCCAACGAACATAACTTCGGCACGGACCATATATAAAATAACGCTTCCAGCTATTCCTCTGTTATTGTGTGCTTATAATCAGCCGCGGGAACATGAATACCTAGCCGTTGCCTAGTAATGGACTTATACTTGTGGTCCCACTATTCCGCCTTTTAGATGTCATGTCACAATATTATTTTGAATATCAGAGCTGTTTATTTCGTCTGGCGTGTCACGATAATCTAAATGAATTTTATTGTATACGGTTGCATGCACTTCGCTACGTGATTGACATGTTAGCTTTAACGAAGTTTCTGGCTCAGACCATTCGATGTTTCGCCTTGCATGCTATATGTTACTCCGCCTTTGGCTTACTAATATGGACCTTCCTTTATTTTATTTCCAGGTAAGACTGCGATCGTCCGGAGATACACGGAAGGTAAGTCATACACTTCCAAACACGGCAACTTTCCCACAAAACTTTCCGCTTCTTTCGAAGTTTCAAACGGGTTCATTCAGATATTAAAAATTATGAGTATATATGTAGGTACAGTGTTGAAAACAATTTCGTTTTAGTCCACATGAGTTAAGAGGCGCGACGACAAACGTCAACCGTTTAGATGAAAGAATTTATTCTTCGCCACTTCCACGGCCTTGGTACCGGGGTTCCATTCCCGATGGGGACAAGAGATTTGTCTGTTCTTGTGCAGCGTCCGGACCGGCTGTGGGGCTCTAATCCGCCGGGAATAGTCGAGGCAAGTGTGTGGAGGAGATGGCCAGTCAGTAAGTGCCCTCCCGAGGCAACACCAGCAGAAGGGAAGTGAGCATAACTAGTCATCCCCGTCCTGTCATTAAAGAGGAGGTCTCATATAAAAACACGCAAAAGTCTTAAAAAGAAAATTGTTGTCATTTGTCCTGACGGTACTCGAAACCAAGAATTACTGTGATGGCGAGGGCCATCAACAGTGTAACCGACCGACGAGCTGCCGGGGCATCAAGCTGTCCGCTCACTTCATGATATCGTGTCTGTCCTCTCCATCTGAGACGTAGGGCTATAACTGCTCTCACTTATACGCCTTCATGATGTGGTGCTTAATTATGCCGAAGGATAATTTGTTATGTTGTGAGTGCGGACTGGATTAATTGGCTCAGGGCCCGTTGGTGGGCTATTATGATCACGGTAACATCTTCGAGTTCCATAAAAGGAAGGGATTTTCTGGATCAGCTGGTTCTAGAAGACTCCGCTCCGTATAGTTAATGTTTGTTCTCAGAGCATGTGCACTAATTATATTATCACGTTACGACTCATAACGCACTCCGAATATTTAATGATCAAAACAAAGTATTAAGCTGATACTAAAGTTCATTCACGATATATGTGTTGTGGTGAGGATAGTCGAACATGGAACTCCCGCAGAAATGACCAGAGAAATGAGCGGTGTGACATAAAAACTCTGAAAAGTTCAAAAGTTCAAATGCAGTAAACTTGAGGCTGTTAAGTTAAACCATAAATCATGCAGCTCTCCAAATGCAGTTTATTGGTTAAGAAACGATTCTGAATTTAAATTGTTATGCACTAATTTCCCGTATCCTGTCTATTTACAAAGGACCGCCTCTGTGGTCTAGTGGTTAGAGTTCATGGCTACAGATCCAGAGGTCCCGGGTTCGATTCCCGGCGCTACCAGATTTTCAGAGAAGTAGCGGGTCTGAAACGGGGTCCACTCAGCCTCGTGAGGATAATTGAGGAGCTATTTCAAGGAGACAGCGGCTTTGGTCTAGAAAACCGAGATTAACTGCTGCAGGGATCCTTTGCGCTGACCACACGACACCTTCTATCATCTAAAGTTGGGACTAACTTCGCCGACAAGCGGCGGTCGCTCGGTCGGTATAGTTCGCTTGCGGACTACAGGCGACGCCGTTTTTTTGTCTATTTACAAAAGTAATGTAGTTGGACTGTCGAAGAAACATGTTGAATTTCTTCAGGTTTCATATTATCTAGTCAGAATAGTTTACAAACTGTTACAGTAATTGTAGTCAGGGATGTTTTATCATGTTCCTTAATTCCTGAATATTTTAATTACTGGTGCGTGTCATACAGACGCAGCCGGATACACAGACAGCAAGGTGATATCATAAGCCTCCTTTTATTTTTCCGAAATAAGGATAGTAGACTAAACACAGTGCTGCCACTGCAAGATTTTCATTGTGTTAACTACTCACCTATTACTAAACATTATACATATTACTGTAAATTGGAAGACGTACAATTTTCAAATTCCATGGAAGAGAATCTTTGTTCAGAATTTGATAATTGTTCAGCAAGTCTAGAAGAAGAACCCGCTACTGTATCATATTCTCTATCAGACGACTGCAGTCCACAACGTCACCCCAGATTTCTTTCAACTCCATTTTAATATTATAAGCGCATCTACCTACCTACCTACCTACCTACCTACCTACCACTCGGCGCTACAGCCCTGGGTCAGCCTTGGCCTCCTCTACAACCAGTCTCCACAACCAATGTGTGCTGTCATAGGAATGGATCCACGCATGATGACCCGAGGCTGGTTGTTAGGTTTCTGAACAAAATTCTTCTTACAGGATGAGGTTGTTAGCCTCATGCCCAATCCCCAAATTGGAGAACCAGGGTATCTCTCTTAGCCTGGATTCTACCCTTTGACTTTCTCGGCATGGGTGACCCTACCGGTAATTAAACTACCGCCGGCATAGCTCTCCAGGTCACAGAGTCACGCAAGCCCCACCACCACAACAAGGTGAAGACACCTTTGGGCGGGATCCTCCCATCTACTGCAATATTTTCCAAGTGGGCTCTTCTCTTCACGTTATCCAACTAAAGATTTTGTGGCTGCACCTTACTCGCCCCCCCCTCCCCATACCAGATAATGGTACACCAGTATCGCGCTCCTTCATTTGATCACTCTGATAGTGGTTAGTGAGGAGCAGAAATTATGAAGCCCCTCGTTATGCGGTTTTCTGAATACTGCTACTAACTTCCTTCCTCTTGGATGCAAATGTTCTCCACTACATCCGGTTCCCAAACGCCCTCAATCTGTATTCTGCCACTACGTTCGATATGTCTTATCTAATGGCATACAGACACACATACCATAAAGTTATCTTTATTTTCATATCAGCATGACAGTCTGGCGTGTTGTAGCTTCCATCAGGAGATAACTATCAACATTATTGTTATCCTTATCTCTGAACCTCAGTTCATAATTAATCAGTTGACGTCCTCTAATGATCTGACTTTCGAATCTTAAGGTTGCACAAATACAACGAAAAGTAACGAGTGAATTAATCTGTGGGCAAATGTTCTGTGACGTATTTCCTTTATGTGGCAAATCATTCTTGTTTCACTGTATTGTCTCTCATCCAAATATAGAGCACAGGGCATTTTAAATGCAGTCATTATTATCGTCTTTAGCGTATCATTGGTCTTAATCACAGATGGATCTTTATGCTCATTTGTTGCGAATTCGGAATACGAAACCAATATTACAATACAGACAAACGCAACGTTCACTGTATTGGCAGTGCTATGGAAATAAGTACCACTATTCCATGACAGCGACTTCTCTAATGGTATCGGGTTCCTACTCGTTATCATGTGGCTTATATATTTTATTAGCCGGAAAAGTTTTCACGTATTTATGTTTGGGACTCCGTTTGCTTTGTTGGTACGTGCATTTGACGGCTCTTCCAACAGTGACCTACTGCGATAATTCTGCATTAATTTCCCCATAAAAAAAACAAACTCCTTGACTTTAGTCCTCAAGCGAACTATACCGACCGAGCGACCGCCGCTTGTCGGCGAAGTTAGTGCCAACTTTAGCGGATAGAGGGTGTCGCGTGGTCAGCGCAACGAATCCCCACGGCCGTTAATTTCGGTTTTCTAGACCGGAGCCGCTATTTCCTTCAAATAGCTCCTCAATTATCCTCACGAGGCTGAGTGGACCCCGTTCCAGACCCACTACTTCTCAGAAAATGTGGTAGCGCCGGGAATCCAACCCGGGCATCTGGATCCGTAGCCAGGAACTCTGACCGCTAGACCACAGAGGCGGTCATTGTTTTCCCCATGGTTATCAGAACTACTACTTTGATTCTGGTGGAAAAATAAATTTACATTCTGGAATAAACTTTTTGTCAGCTGATCCAGCGTAACGTCAGTGTAACTGAAAAGCCTGGCCCGAAGTCGGTGTTTCTGAAGTACAAGTTTATAGCTTTAATTGCTCAATGCTTCCGGTCAAAATCTTACGTACTTAACAAGCATAATCTTCTGTACACCTCGGCTAGGCTAAATACCGACATTAATATCCCTTAGAATTGATCTGTAAGTTCGATATTGTGGGATTCTTTATCAGTATAGGAACCGTGGAATCTCTGGACACCGCAGACATGCTCAAATATGTTGGGTCGCATTTGTATTGGAGAAACAAATGAAAGAGTACAACGCGTGCAATCGATATATGCCGGTGGTATGTCTGGAATGTTTGCTGCATGAATCGATTTGCATTTCGACGAAAGTATGTTCATTATTTAACTATATACAGCTCATACATTTCAATAACACGCTGTTCATTATTAGCGTGTTCGTATAACAGATGCAGACGTGTCTGGAACACATACAATTCGAGCAGAAGTTAATGATGCCCCCTGGAAAGAACAATATAAAAAGCCTAAATTCCAACACCGCTTTTCAGAAACTGTACACAGTGTAACACTTCAGGCTCCAACTCAGTGGTTCAAAAACTGTGGCCCGTGGACACCACACATGTGTGCTTGGTATTCAGCTGTAGAATTCGGTTTGAACTAAATATCCAGGTTGTCTCTTGCAGCGGTAAATTATGATACTCATTTGAGGGGCTCTGTCTTCTGGAATATAACGTTGTATAGTCAGTTGAAAGTCAACCGACATTTCGGAGGAACATGTGACCTCAATCTTCAGGATCGAAGAATAAGTCAAGCAATAAACCAGCGTGAAGCAATTCGCAGGCTCTGGCTTGCTAGCTGCTTCGACCCTGAAGGTGGAGGTGATGTGTTCCTCGGAAGCGTCGGTTGAATTTAACGGACTACACGTCGTTACTTCCCAGAAGACAGGACTCTTCATAACGACCGCTGTGAGAGCATCAGATCCTACACAGTGCTATATCGCAGAAGACAATACTCTTCATAACCACCGCTGCGAGAGCCTCAGATCCTACACAGTGCTATATCGCAGAAGACAATACTCTTCATAACCACCGCTGCGAGAGCCTCAGATCCTACACAGTGCTATATCGCAGAAGACAATACTCTTCATAACCACCGCTGCCAGAGCCTCAGATCCTCCACAGCGCTATATCGCAGAAGACAATACTCTTCATAACCACCGCTGCGAGAGCCTCAGATCCTACACAGTGCTATATCGCAGAAGAC